TGATTTTTTTGTTTAAAATCAATTTTGAAGCCAAAATCGTCTATGAATGAGCAAAAATTAAGTCGAAAAATGTAAAAATTTCGAGAAATGAATAGTTATTCAAGTGATTAATGGGGTAATTATTTTGCTTAAGTTTTGAGGCTTCAGATTTGTAATAAAATAGCGAAAAATTAGTTTCATAAGCGGAAAATTGCCTTTTTCAAAAGCACCTCCTAGTATATGTTAAAAATGAGGTAGGAGATGTCAAGTTTGAGTTTTTTGCTTTTTTTCTGTTATTTTGAAAATCCGGTATGTCTGTGTATTTATCCACCATCTTCATCGCTTTGAATTTGGATTTCGCGCATTCCATGAATGTACAACGATTGGGGTACAGGAAGGGGCTACATTTTGGTGTCCAAAGATCCGGTCCCGTAGACCTTTTCGCCATGACCTTGTATCTCACAAACTCAAATTTAGCTCCCAATTATGCAGAGGTCTGGCGTAAGACCACGTGAGAATTTTGATGTGAAAGTCGCTAGCTCGGAAGCTGAAAATCTGAGGCTTAACTGTAAATGCCTAAGTCCGAACTAGAGTTTTAGAGTCCCCTTGTCCACTGTAAAAATTTGTTTTGAAATTTTTTAGCTTCTCATTTCTTGGGCCTGTTTTTTCGGTAGAATTTCGGCCAAGCAATGCTCCTAGCACCTTTCTGTAGTTCCCAGAATCCACGGGTTTCTTTTGAGAAGGATTTCGGATGCTTTGCTTGGCCGGAAGACGTGCAACATGTACTGTTTTCGGGATTAGTTACTTGGATGTGCCATCTCCAAGAAAATAGCCGTTTTTAGAAATAAAGCGTTTATCATACTTTATTTATTATGTTTCTTGCTTAAAATCGAAGATGCTGAGGCGATGATGTACGTATTTGTCGCGGAAGTCTTGTGAAAAGCCGGGATGTGCACTAATCTCTATATCCTGTACAAGAAAGCTGTAAAGGGAATTTTTTCTCCTTTATACTCTCAGTAGGAAGACGGATAAAAAAGGTTTTTCCCCCCTGAAGATTAACAATAACATGTATAAAAAATGCAAAAAAAAAGATTAGTAATAATATGTGCAAAAAAAGCATACATATAAAATGCAGAAATTAGCCGGACAGGAATGTCTTGATCTATCAAGTCGTAAATACACACCCCTCTTCGGCAACACAGCTGGACCTCGTCAGTACGGCGGATTAAGAATGTTTAAAATTTATAGATAAAATCTCAGACCAAAGCAAGGAGATTCTTGCGCTTCACAAACACACACTATCACAATCAAACTTAGCATTAATGTTTCATGACATAAACTCAACCAAATTCCATCCATTCGACTGAAATTTCAGCGTTCTAGCTTCTCAGATCCCCGAGTTATGAACTTACTCGAGTTTTGAACTTGAAGAGGGAATGTTACCAGGTAAATAAAAGAAAGTGAAAGACTACCTCAGCTAGTGCATAGGAGAACAGGTGAGGGGAAGAAAGATATGGAGAAATTACATATAAATTATACAACGCACGATGTGGTGTTGTGGCCCAGCATTAGGCTACCTGTTCGTTACAAGGGCTGAGCTGTATCACCCGAAAAACTTCCGAGCGTTACTTGAACTGACTGCGATGATGGCCTACTAGCAGAAAGTAACACACAACAAATGCTCAAGTACTGCACCGAGAAACGATCGTTATTTGTATAGGTGGGTGGGCACCGGTAAGAAGTGTGCGTCACCTGAGCACTACACGAGCAACGCTGGGTGTTTACTTGTATCAATTGCCATTACATGAGCATTGCTGACATATTACCTGTAATCTGATTTTTGCCAGTATCTTAAAAATTCCACGAAGTTCAGTTGACGGATGTTTGTATTTATAAGAAATCATTGAGCTGCATCAGTTCGCATAGGTCCTGCGGCGACCAGCGTTTTCCGGGTAGTGTATGAGCTCATTATGTGTTGGCTTGTACCAGCAGCTCCTCCATCGCTGTTTGTGATGGGGTTTTTGTGGGTTTTTGGTTGCGGGTTTGTGAGTGTGGTGCAGCGATAAGTAAGACTTTTGTAGTGCAGCGGCTTGAGGAGTTTACCCACCCTGTCGGGGGATGATCCCCATGAATTATCTCTCTATCATTCGTTCAGATTCGTTTCGATGGTAAATTGGTACCGGCATTACCCGAGGGAAAATCCAATCACCATCAGCTTGCTTGCAAGCAACTCTTGAAAATGAGGACAGTCGGCAACTTTACCAGCGTGTGGTTGCTTTTGGCAGAATCTGTCATTCGGGCTGCTTCCAAGCGCCTCTAGCTTCCAAAAAAAACTAAATATAAAGCAGAAAGTTCTGCTTCGTCTTAGTCATTATTGATCTTTATAACCCGTTTCCCTTTAGCACAGGCCTGACAGTCGGCAGCTTTACCAGCGTGTGGTTGCTTTTGGCAGAATCTGTCATTCGGGCTGCTTCCAAGCGCCTCTAGCTTCCCAAAAAAATTGAATATGGAACAAGGGGTCCTGTTTCGTTTTCGAACTTCTTTTGCATATTTCGTCCGATCCTTCAGCTTACTTTCCAAGCACATTTTTTATGAGCTTATTTTTTAGACTTTTATTTTTTATGGGCTTATTTGTTTTTTATGAGTTTACATTTCATCAGTGAGGTGGAGAGACCCTATGGTACGCTTCTATGTAGCACTTCGGCTCGTAGAGCGCAACAACGAGAAGAATGGAGAAATTGCCAGTGTTGCATCGATGGCGTGACAACGAACGTTGATGACATACAGCTGCTTAAGTATTCAAGTAAATATGATATTTTAGGCCATCAGTCGGTAAGCGGTACGCAAAATGGGCCGAAGGATACGTGTACAGCGTAAGGGGCCAGGTGGTGTCTTCAAGGCACACAGCAAACATCGCAAGGGATCGGCAAAACTCCGGCCGGTGGACTATGCCGAGCGGCATGGCTACATCAAAGGGGTGGTCAAGGATATCATCCACGATCCGGGCCGTGGTGCACCGCTGGCCATCGTCGAATTCCGCGATCCATACAGATACAAGTTGATCAAGAGTACCATGATCGCTGCTGAAGGCATGCACACCGGACAGTTCATCTATTGCGGAAGAAAAGGTAAATGTTTTTTGGAAATTTTTTTTTGAAAAATGTAAACTATGAAAGTTTGTTTGGCACTGCGGGCCAGCCGATGCTGAAGGGACACAGTCGAATATTGTCAGTTGTGGGAAAGCAGCAGTGAGTGCTAATTCAGATACCCAGATAAGCGAGCCTGTATGTGCATTA